GACTTGCTCGTAGAGCTCTTCATTGGTTGGGAAGGGCAGGAGCAGGGAGAGGAGAGAACAAGTGAAGGAGCCAAATGAAGTCAGAGTTGGAAAACATTTCAAAAAGAGTTAAATAGAGGTTTGGGTAGAACAAGCACTGGAGAGAAATCTGAGGTCAGGAAAGGGCTATTAAAAAAATCCTTTAAATTTAGAAGAAAAGCACATTTGAATCAACATCAGTAATAGTAACCAGCAAGAGCTACAGAAAGGAAGACTCAAGTATTTCAAATGTCAGATTATTATCAGGGAGTATGCCTCCCTAGGCCTTTTTATTTTTTATTTTGAAACAGGATCTTGCTAAATTGCCCAAAGTGACCTAAAGACTGTGATCCTCTTGCCTCATTCTCCTTGAGGTGAGAGATTAGGTTTGGGGCAAACTAGTCAAAAACCTAACAGGATGTCTTAAAGTCATGGAGACCTAAGGGACACACAAAGAACACAGGAGGGAGGGTGCTTCTGTGGCTGCTGAGCAGTGTACACAAAACCAATCAGAAAGGTACTATTTCTGATTGGTGCTTAGATGTCATCCCAGTACTCAGGTGGCAGGATTGCCTCAAGGTCAAAGCCAGTCTGGATATAGTCCAATGATTTACTCAGTCTTTCATCCACATCTGGCAGAAACTACACAAATATTTGAGAGGATAGTTTAAATCTGGCAAGTGAGGTGTTTTGTTTTGTTGCTGTTGTTGTTTTCTTTGAGACAGGTCTCACTATGTTGCCTAGGCTGGAATTGAATTTATGGCAACTCTCCTGCCTCAGCCTCCTGAGTGCTGGAATTACAATTGTGCACCACCCCGCCAGGCCAAGTGAGCTTTTGATAGGATAATCATTCCAAGGCCTTATTTGCATGGGGGAAAAGCCAATCTGGGAATTCCAGGCACAGAAGGCCCCTCCCCATGATTCTCAGTGGATGTGAGTCTGCCCATCAGCCCACTCTCATGCCTTCAGTGAAGGTATATCCTGGCTACTTTTTCTGTGTCTTAACCAATTCTTTGTTCAGAACCCAGTAGAATAAGCGCTTGCCTGGCAAGTGCAAGGGCCTGAGTTCAATCCCTGGTTCCACAAAAAAAAATAAAATAAAATACAATAATAAATAAATAAAATAAAATAAAAAGGGGCCAGGATTTAGCTCAGTTTGAAGGCCCTAAGTCCATCCTCATTATTGAAATAAACAACTTTTCTCCATTCAGTATAAAAGCAACTTTGTAACATTCACATAATGTTTATTATATTTATGCTAAGAGTTTGTAATTTTTAGGTCTAAGCCTCAATTTAAAAAAATTTTTGAATTTATAACTATTTATTATTATTATTGTTGTTGTTGTTGTTGTTGTAGTAGTAGTAGAGGGAATTGAACCCAGATCCTTCACACTGAGCTACGTTCCCAGTCTACTTTTTCTTTTAAGGTAGTTTTGTTAAATTGCCCAGGCTGGTCTTGAGCTTGAGATTCTCTTGCTTCAGCTTTCTGAATGCTGGGATTGTAGACCTGTACCTCCAGGCCCACTTTTTAACCCCTTTTTCAATTTTTATTTTGAGACAGAGTCTTGCTAAACGTCACTGAAAGGGCTTGAATTTGGGATCCTCCTGCCATTTTAGCAGCTGGGATTGTTGGCATTTGCCACTGCTTTTCATGGAGTTTTTTTTTAAAATGTGAACTTCTTTCTGGGCGTGATGTCGAATTCTGTAATCTCAGCACTCCAAGAGGCTGAGACAGGACTCCTGATGGCAAACTGGAGCACATCCTGGGCAATGTAGTCACTTAGTGAAACCCTGTCTCAAAATAAAACATTTTTTTAAAAGGGCTGGGGATATGGCTCAGCACAAAGGCCCTGGTTCCAATCACAACTTAACAAAACAAAACAAGGCGGCAAGCTTTACTTCTTTTGGAATAACTTTACGTTTATAGGAACGTAGCACAGAGATCCTTGTGTACTCTTTACACAGCTTCCACTAATATTAACATCTTATATAACCATGGCGCTATGTCAAAATTGAGGCATTAACATTACTACAATGATATTAGCTAAATTATAGCATTCATGTCCTTTTGTTTCTAGGATCCAATCCAGCTCCCCACATTGCTAAAGCATGGTGCTTTCTCATTTAAAATTTATTTTAAAGCCGGACTTCTTGGGACATCCCTGTAATCCCAACATTTGGCAGGTGGAGACAAGAGGATCATAAGTTTGAAGCCAGTCTAAACCACATATCCAGGCCCTGTCTCAAAAAACAACAAAATAAAAATTGTATTTTTCTTTTCTCCTCCTCCTCTTCCCCTTCTTCCCCCCCTCCCTTGGATTGAACACAGGGACTCTGCAATGAAGTATATCCCAAGCCCTTTTTATTTTTTGAGACAAGAGTCTCTCTACATTGCTTAAATCATTTGAACTTGTGATCCTCCTGCCTCAGCTTCCCAGTGTTTTGAGGTTATAGGCCAAGCAATTGTATTTTGAAACGGGGTGAGGTAATTCATACCTATAACCCCAATTACTCCTGAGGCAAAGGCAAGGATCACTATTCAAGGATAGCCTGGGCAATTTAGAGAGACTCTTTAAATAAATAAGATTGAGGATTTAGCTCCATGGTAAATCCTAGCATGTTCAAGACCCTGGTTCAACCCTCAGCATTATATTTAAAATAAAATAGACAAATAAAAAGCACTTGATATAGCACATGCTTGTAATCCTGGTACTCTGGAGGCAGAGCTGGAGGATTGCAAATTTCGGTCCTATACAAGGCAATGTAGCACACCCTAAAGATTCTGGGGATATATCTCAGTATGAAGTCCTGGGGTTCAATTTCTAGCACTGCAAAAACTAAAATAAAATAATAAAAAGGGCTTGGATATAGCTCAGCACTATAAATTCAATCGTGAATGGTGCAAAAAAGAAAAAGGAAAAGACTTACCTTAAAGGTTGTCTTATATCATTTCATACCCAGCTGTCCAATTCTCTGGATTACAGAATGAATCAATTCTTAGAAGTGAAATTGCAGAGTTAATGATTATGTGCATCTAAAAATTACCAGTGCGGGGGAGGGGTGTGGTTTAGCGGTGGAGTTCGTTTTTAGCACGCAAGGCGCCTCGGGTTCAATTCCCAGCTCCAGAAAAATAAATTTACCTAACTCCTCTACCCCACTATTGTCAATCTCTTCTAGCCAGTGCCCCTGTAATTTGAGTATCGCATGTTTCTCTATGAAGTTCCAAGATTAGGATTGGGAAAATGGGAGTGATAAATGTAAAGCATTCATGAGTTTTTGCACACCACAAAATAATTTGTTTGAAAGGAATTGGCCCAGATACTACATGAAGCATTGCTTGATTTACATTGCGGCAGTACAGTAATCATTGTAACCTGACATAGATGTTTGGCCGCCCTTACGACCACTAGGGGGCTCTGCTAGAAGGGTTTTATAATTTACGTCAGCGAGTTTAAGGCAATGTTTTGTGATAATGCTTTAGAAAACCCTTAAAACTTCAAAGTGATGATCTCATCCAACTTCTTTACTTCACAGATGAAGAAACCAAATGTGGCCAAAAGACCTAGTAGTGGAAAGGACTGGAATAAAAAATTCTTGGTTCCTGAGGCAAGAGTTCAAAGACATTCCCTTTTCTTTCGGGTCTCCATGGAATGATTTGCCTCCAGCAGCTATTTCTTTTGGTTTCCAGTTTAACTGTTTTTGTTAAAATCATATATTTGTGATTGTTTTGATTTCACATCTTTTGTCAGTGCATATTGGTTCTACAGATTAATGGTTCTCATTTAGGGAAATTCGTACATTACGTTTTGGTCATTCCTGTCCAACCCCCCCCCCCCCCCCCCCGCCCCGCGCCATTGCGATAGTATTTTGCTGTTTGTTTAGATGAAGGAATTGCGCAAATTCTAAACTAATGCCTTTATTACTTATTCAAAAATGTTCTATTCAGCGAGGCATGTTGGCGCATGCCTGTAACACCAGCAATCAGGTGGCTGAGGCAGGAGAATCGCTTTGAATTTCAGGCCAGTCTAGGCGACACAGTGAAAGCTTGCCTTTAAAAAAAAAAAAAAGAGGGGTCAGGAAGATGGCTCAGTAGAATAAGCCTTTGCCTGGCAAGTGCAAGGGCCTGAGTTCAATCCCCCCCCAAAAAAGGGGGGGGGGACGAAAGAAAAATTTTACTCAGATTCCAATCTAGCCTGCCCCTCCCCAGAATATTCCAGTTTTTAAAAATATACATAGGCCTTAATTTTTTCCTTAACTACCATCAGCAGTAGCAGCTGGGAGCTCATTAGAGATGCAAATTCTTAGGTCCACCCCATGCTCTAGGGATAGGGATCAGCGATTTTTTTTTTTTTTTTTAAAACAAGCACTCTAGGGACTCTGATGCACCCTCGAGGTCGAAAACCAGGGTTTTAATTCCACAGCCGTAATTATCGAAGTAGGTCAAAGATCAACATCTGACTTCCAAACCCACCCCGAGCCGCTCCATGGAACATCTCTCAAGCGCACCGGCTGCGATCCAACAAGAACGACTCTTCCTAGCTTGTGTCACCTGAGATGGTGGAAACGTAGTGACATTACAATGGTTCCAGAACAAAAGCCACCGCAGTGGGTTTCCTGGGCCTGTCCCAATCGGCAGAGGACCCGACCGAGTTCTTGGAGAGCGGCTCCCGACGCTAGACTCAGCCCGGCACGTTCGGCCTGCGGCTCGGGGTCAGGCCGAGTCAGGACGGCCGCGGCCATTGGTCGCGGCAAGAGGTCGGGCTGGGCTAGAAGCCTCGACCGAAGCACACAGGCATAAAGAGGGGCGGAGGCGCAGGGGCGGGCCCCGGGGGCCGGGGCCGGCTGGCGTGGAAGCCGCACCCTCGCCACTCCAGACGCCGGCGGGGCGGAGCCACGCGGCCGGAGTTGGGGCGGGGACGCGCGGTGCGGCGCGGCCTCGCGGCGGAGCGCGTGGGGCGACAACGGGAGCGGCTGCGCCGCCCGGCCGGGCCGGAGTCGTGCGCATGCGCGGCGCCGGCGCCATTTTGGTGGCCGGGCGCGGAGGTGATTCCACACTGAGGAGAGCGCGGCGGCCGCGGTGGCAGTGGCAGGGGTGGCCGTGGTAGCTTTCGGGTGCTCGGGTCTGAATCGCCGAGTGAGGAGGCGGTGGAGGAAGAGGTGGCGGCGGCGGCGGTGGTCGTAGCGGTGGCGGAGGAGGCGGGTACGAATCAGCTGCGGGCGGAGACATGGCCAACATCGCGGTGCAGCGAATCAAGCGGGAGTTCAAGGAGGTGCTGAAGAGCGAGGAGGTCAGGAATCTACTCCCCGGCGTCCCCCACCTTGGCCGGGGGCGGGAGGGACCCCCAACGGCGACCCCAACGTTCCCGACAGCCCCTGGTGGCCTTGGCCGCGTAGCCGCTGCGCCCGCGAGGGGCCGCCGCCCCCTCCCCTCCGCTCCCTCCCTCCGCCGCCTCCCTCCGGGCCGGGGCGGGTTGGCGGGCCGGACGCGGGACGCGCTCCCGGGGCTCCCCGCGGCAGCCGCCGCCGCCTCGGGAAAGGATCGAGGTGCCGGGCGGGAGGGAGCAGGCGGAGCTCGAGAAAACCGGGGAAGTGGGTTGGGGGAAGGGGAAAGGTAGTAACCGGATCCGGGGAGCCGCGCGACGGCCCGCACTTTTCAGGGGATTCTGGGTGATTGCCTGCCAGGCCTCTGCTGTCCTGTCCTTAGGGACCCTAGGTGTGGATGTGGGAGGCGGAGGCCTGGCTGTTTCTCTCCGTAGTTGGTGCCTGGCGACGAGGGGGGCTTACTGGGACGGCGCCGTATAGGGAGGCAGGGATAAGGGAATTTTCACCGGAGGTAGGAAATCAATTCCAAGTTAGATCATTATCTGCTCCCCCCGGTCCCCCCCCCCCCGGCCTCTGTATTGGCATCTAAAGCTTTTTGACTGGCCAGAGGGAAGTTGTTCTGTGTATTGAATATTTTTAGCTAGGAAAAAAAGATGGAGTATTTGAATAGCTTATTTCACTACACTGTTGACGAGTGATCAGTCTTTCTTTTAAGACAATGCCTCTGTGACTCGTGCTGTGAAACTTCATTATTATGTCCTTCATAGTTAAATTGACTCTTAACTTTTGAAAAATAGGTCTCTTAAGGACAATGCATTTTTTCAGGTAAATACTTATTGTGTTTCATTAAGTTTATCCTGACCTACTATGACCATGACATAATAGTATAGAATTTTTTAAGAAAAATTTCTCCTTTTCAGTCCTGTAGGATTTAGATACTGTACACTACTACAGGCCACATTTATTTGCGTAAATTATACACGATGGACTACTTATTTTATTAAAAGCTATACAAGTATTGTAAGAATGCCAGGTTTTCTCGATTGAGTTTAATAGGATAATACTAAAAGTAATTGTTTTATAGATTTATTATAGGATACAGTAAGCTATTTTGTTTTTTGTTTTATGATTTGTGTTTTGATAATACCAGTAATGATTTATGAAATACACCATTCCAGGTAAAACTAGTAACCTTATTTGTGCCATTAAATGTACTGTGATCAAGTTTCTTAGCAAATACACATGGAGAAAACTTTAAAATTCAAAATGAGTTATTATATTTACTGAATGCGATTAGATAATTAAGTAGCAGGAAAGTAATGATCCTTTACCAGCATGTGTGTATGAACTCTGAACTTTGCATTTGTTCATTTGCCAAAAGTTGGAATGGAGGCATGACTTTGTATTTTTGTGGTACAATGCAGAAATAGTCATAAATGTCTATACTAAAACACTGTAATAGTAATTTTAATTTTTTATAAGAAAATGTATTCCAGGATTCGTAATTGAGATATATTCCTAATGGAAGATTGCAGGTATTGTTGTCAGTGTGAAACATTTCTATGTGGTTGTGTGTGCCTGAAACTTAGTAGATGTCTAATGTCTTTTCTTTTACTAAAAAGTGGTAAGCTGCTCATACTCATATTGAATTCATGTAGCGTATGGTCTTTTTGCTTTATGTAAAGTGACTTTTCAGCATGGTATTCTTATACTTGAAGATCACCAGAAATTGTTGTATTGCTGTAGTAATGCACATTATTACACTAATATGACTGCTCTTCAAGGGCCACAGTATTTCAGGAAAAAAAACCAAACATGCTATGCAAACAGACCTTCCCCCCCTTTTTCTTTTTCTTTTTTTTTTTTGTGGAACTGGGGATTGAACTTAGGCCCTTGCACTTGCCAGGGAAGCACTTATTCCACTGAGCCATCTCCCTGGCCCCTCCCTTTTCCTTTTTTTTTTTTTTTTTATGATATTGGGATTTGAACTCAGGACCTTGTGCTTGCCAGGCAGGTGCTTAAGCTGCTAAACTGTCTCCCCAGCTTTTTTTTTGAGACAGGGTTTCACTGTGCAGTTTAGGCTGGCCTTGATCTCACTTTGTAGCCAAGGCTGTTCTGGAACTTGTAACTATCCTCTTGTCTCAGCTTCCCGAGTGCTGGGATTGCAGGTATGCGTCATCACACCCAGCACTAGACTTGTTATTTTTTAAGCATAGTTGCTTGTGCTGAAGGAATAGTTTAGAGGTGCAGCCCTTGCCTAGTATACATGAGGACCTGGGATCAACCCTCAGCACTTTGAAAGAGGAGTAGTACCATTATAAATCTGAAAGGAAACTTCTTTCAGGAAAATAAGATGCCAAGAATATTGAGAGTGTCAGAAATTTGATCTGGAAATAAACAATACTAGCTTTATTTTCACCAACATTTTATTTCATTGATATTTTATTTTATTTTTTTTTTAAATTTTTTTTTTTTATTTATTTGAGAGAGAGAGAGAGAGAGAGAGAGAGAGAGAGAGAGAGGTGTGTGTGTGGCCAGCTCAGCCCACCAGGGGGTGGGGCTGGCTGGCATGTGGTGCTGGGGGATCGAACCACGGTCCCTGATGCTTTGCTAAGCTTGTTCTAAGTAGGTGCTTTAGACCACTGAGCCATCTCTCCAGCCCGTTCATTGATATTTTAATAGGCATAGTTATTTTCTGCTCATTGAAATACTTGTACCCAAGTATTCCTTTAAGTGTGTAAATATATTTTGAATGACTGATCAAATAATGAAATAGTTTATCATGTCATACGAATCTCTACCAAAATTTAACTCATGCTTGTTTTCTCTAAAAGTATCGATTGATTTCAGGACCTTTGCTGGGCATTCAAATACCTTTTAGTCATTTTATTTATTTCATACAGGGTCTCGCAATGGAGTTCTGATGCATAATGATCCTCCTATCTCAGCCTCTCCAGTACTGGGATTACAGGTGTGCACCATGATGGTTGCCCAGTTTCAGTGGTGGGCACAGTACCAGGGATTGAACCAGGATCCTTGCACTTGCCAGGCAGCTGCTTAGGCTGCTAAGCTATCTCCCCAGCCTTAAGTACCTTTTAAAGGTAGCTGCTGTGTGTTGAATTCTTGTTGTAGGAGCTTATAAGTGGTCCTAGAGTATGTTGATTAAAATACAACTTCTCACCCCTATAATCCCAGCACTCCTGAGGCTAAGGCAGGAGGGTTACTGTGAATTCAAGACCAATCTGAGCTACAAATTGAGTTCAAGACTGCCCTAAACTACATGGGAGACCTTGTGTCAAAAATGAAACAAAACAAAGTTAAAATATGGTCTTCTAGGTAAATGTGAAAAGTGAGGTGCAAAGACTGTTCAGGAGACCATCGTTTATGTCAAAAGTGGGGGAGTATGTTTGTCAATACAAGTAAAAGGATTCCTGTAAAATTGATAAAATTGGTTTAAGTGGATTCTGAGTATAGCTCTCTTTTGAGTTTTGAGTGATGTCAATGATTTTTACTCAAATGAAATAAAGGCACCATCTAGACCTCTTTTCCATAAGATAGTGTTTGGAAGCCAGTCTTTTGTCTGCCAGATAGTCTTTTGTTTGTTTTGCTTTGTAGTTTGATGTGTAGTCCAGGCTGACCTTGAATTTACTGTGTAGCCAAGGTTGGCCTCAAATCTGTTTTCTGCTTCAGCCTCCCAACTACAATATTGAGGTTACAGGCATGCACATCCACCAGAATTTAAGTAATGGTTCAGAGTTGTTAGGAATAAAAAATTTGTTAACAGTACATCTTATAGTTATTTTGAGTCAAGTATTATAGGTGAATTGTTGGTTGTGAGGATGTAAAACCCTCATTTGTTTTGTTCATGAATCATGTTTTACTACCAGTTACTGGTGTTAATAACTACTATATGTAGAATGCCTGTCAATGTCATTGATTATACATTGTTTCTCATTCTTAAGAACAGGTTTTTGAAGTCTGGCATGGAGGTGCACTATAATCCCAGCACTGGAGGTTGAGGCAGGAGAATCACTAAGTTTAAGGCTAGCCTAGGCTATATAGACATTGCCTTTAAAAAAAAAAAAAAGAGAGAGGGAACGGGTCTTTGAATTAGCTTTTGTGTTTCTTAGGTTAAGAAATTGAGATTCAGAGAAGTTAAATTATCTGCAAACATAGAGCTTTGGAATTTAAACATCTAGGTTTGCTTGTGTTTATATCATACTGTCATGAATTGATCAAAGATAGGCATATTTTAATTATTTAAAAATAATTTTCTAGGTGCAGTGACATATATATGGAATCACTGCCCTCAGGAGACTGAGGCAGGTGGATTACCACAATTTTAAGACCAGCCTGGATTACATTAGTGAGTTCAAAGCCAGCCTGAATTACATAGCCAGACTTTGTCTCAAAAAAAAAAAAAAAACCCAAAACCCAAATAAAACAAGTTTGGTTTGTATACTGGTTAAAGTATTTTAACACAGCTTAATTAATTAATTAATTAATTAATTTTTTGGTGGAACCTGGGATTGAACTCAGGCCCTTGTGTTTACCAGGGAAGTGCTTATTCCACTGAGCCATCTATCTCCCAGGCTTAATTTAATGTTAGCTTAAGTTCATTGAAATAAGTGATACGTATAACTTGAAGGTTTACCTGACTTTTTTTGGTTGGTTTGTTTTTGTCCTGAGACAGGTCTCACTGGGGTATAGGAAAGCCACCATACCCGATTTAACATTTTCTAGGGTTCTTTTGTTGTTGTTGTTTGTTTGTTTCCTCAGAGATCGTCTTATACAGTGCAGGCTGACCTAGAACTCACTTATGTAGCCTAGGCTAGCCTCCAATTCATGGCATTTCTCCTGCCTCAGCCTCCTGAGTAGTGAGATTAAAGACATGTACCTCCATGCCTGGTTTATTTTCTAATTTTCTTATAGAGATTGGTTAAATCTATGGCATAAACAAATTGGT